GTTGATCGACGAGTTTTATGGCAATGTCTCTCACTGAAAGGCATACCGAGTAAGTACGTCACTCTATTGAGGCCTCTCTACTCGAACACTTGTGAGCGTGTTAGAGCCTATGGTGAGATGTCAGGTGAGCTGTACTCGTCGAATGATATCCGTCAAGGCCGACTACTCTCTCCATTCTTACTCAGTTTTATCATAGATATTCTTATGGAGGTTTCCCTCTCGTCACCTGACTACACAGAAGTTGATCTAATCACAGGAGAATTTTCGTTAGACCTAGAATATGCAGATGACATGGTCCTGTTAGGTGAAGACGCTGACTAGATGCAGTCTTCTGAACACTTTGAGTGGGAATTTGAGAGTGTTTGGGATGTGTTCCTCACCACCCAAATACAAATTGTTGCTCCAGGATCGGTCTTCAACGGTGCCTCGGCTAACAATAGAGAGCATAGTGATTGAGTGTGTTGACCACTTCACTTATCTGGGAAGTGGGATCAGCCCTAGTGGCTCAGTGACCGATAAAATCTCTGCACAGATACAAAAGGCTAGGGTGGACTTCTGAGACATCGCCTCCTTTTAAAGATAACTTAATAGATATTGCTTTTCGTGTGATATAAATATATATAGTAAGTGTGTCAGCAGGCAGTTATTTTGCTCAAAATATTATCAAGATTAAAGTGACCATCGTAAGTGTCCATTCACTGTGAAAAGTTTTATGTTAAAACAAAGGTTGTTGCGTGCATTTTGATTCTCTCGGTTACAGTAGCCAATAATCCTCCTACCTGTTCGTTTTTTCAAGTGTTAGCTCACCCATTGTACGGTACAGATCTGACTGCCTTTTCGAATAATGAATATTCATCTTAAAGTCACAAAAACTTTAGCGGCCACCCACATTCTATTTTTTTCACCTCATTCCTACTTGATCTCTTTCCTCAACAAAACTCCAGTCTTGTGAATTTTGACTTTACTTAATAGGCTATTTTTTCCTTTTACTGCTGAACTAGTACTGGTTACTACATTACGTATCTAAAACTATACGATTTTCTTTTATTTAGAAGTCGGTCAGTATATGAGAATATAAATACAATTAGTTGTTTAGTAAGAACTGTGTTAATAAAAGTACTGGTATTAAATTCAGCTTACTGCATAACATCCATCCGATAAACAACAATAGTTTCGGCATTTTATTATAAACGAATTTATTCATTTTACAATGGATAAACTCTTCATGGAACTAATCACTTCAGTATTTGTCTAATGGTCTTAATCGTTTAGAAAAGTGTACATTATTTGGTCGCAGTCTATCCGATAACAGAAACAGATGAGTGGACATGTTAATTCAGGACCGAAAATAAATGTCAGCCTTTAAAATGTACTTGCTCTTTAAGCTATTGCAAATCGTGGACGTATTCTTGTAATGACTCTGACTTGAAGTCTCTTACGTTTGAATCAAGTTCCTTACTGAATATAGCAATATTGCTTTTACGACCAAATAACTTTTTATTACACAGTTTTCTATTGCTTTGCTTCTGTGATAACATTTTAACGACATACCACCTCAACAGTTTCAGTTTTGTTTATGTATCTCTCTACCTATTCTGGTTACTAAAAAGGATGAATCAGTATATGTTAAATTTTAGTTGTTTCCTTGTGAATATATTTCATTTGAGTGATTCATTACACGCATGACAGCTAGAAGTAAGCAAGATGTCACCATTTTTTCTTTCTTTCGGCCTAAACAGATCACAAAAGGCGTACACACACACACACACACCCAATTTCTCTTGAATTGTTAGTTGCTAATATGAGCAGAATATTTCTTAAGTTTCAATTATGAAGATATCTTGTTTACCTATTCAACAAGAGTTCAGCAATTACCTTTTAATGCCTAAATTATTATATAAGGTTGTCCAATCAACAAGTTGGGTTTCTTCTACAGAAATTATCCCTTTGTATGAAAAAACACTGTTATAACTAGTATATCTAAGGGAAATCAGTTGTTAGATTGCTTGAATATAACCTATTAAATGTCATAATTAAGAGTCCCATTTGACGTATGCCTATAACCGTTTCGGCTATCATAAAATGATCCTTCCTACACAGCGATGTTAGATCCAGTACACCATCACTGCCAACTGATGATTGGTTTCGGTGAGCATTTTTAGATTTCTAATGGCAGGCTGTGATTTACAGGCTTAAGAGTAGTAATAGATCCCCAAAATTACCATTTAACGAATTTCACATCAAAGCAAATTGATTGAATTTCAGAAACTTAGACGGCTGAATCCCACCTCGTTGAGTGGATTGTGAGGTGATAATTTTCAGACAAAACGTTCGGAACTTTAACTAGACATATCCAAGGAAATAAACTGTTGAAAAGAAAAAACTGAGTCGGGACAAGCGATTGCTGTTATTTGTTGCCTATCCATCTCATTAACACCTCCTGCCCGCTACTTCTCGTATTCGCTGACCAGATTTTTGTCAACCTACATAAAGTTGTTCCCACCTCACATTGGTAGTAGCCTGCTGTAATGCTTTCTCAGGTGCCAATTCGGTAGCTTTAGGTTAACAGCGAACAGAAAACCGTGAGGCTTTCCGAATGCATACACCATCTTAATCTTTCATCAGCTGTTTGGAAAGACTTCCCTACTATCCTCCTCTTCTAACCACGTTCGGAACAGCCTTCCAGCTGTAGTCTTTCCAAGTCCATTTAGATACTTACTGTTCTCAGGTACGTGCTCCAGAAAAAGCGGTGGACCTTCACCAACCCCTTCCAGTGACATGTTGCACCTGTAGTCACATGAGTTATGGTGGGTGATTACTGTGTCAGATTTAGGTCGTGCCAGTTAGAAATACATGGTTTTCCGAGCACAATTTCAGTAGCTGATTACCACTATCAGTTTAATCGGCGGACATTCTGAGACTACCACCGAAACGGTTCATAGGCTTAAGCAGGTGAGTTCCAATCAATGGATTGCGAGTCTGAACACCGCTCCACCTACCGAGGTTTGAGCAGTCAAGCAGCATCATCAACTTTCACATGATGTGTGGCTTAGTGCCTACTTTAAGAATGTGCAAAAGGTAGCTGAGTGCGTGTCTCTATCATCCAAATGGTTTTCTATTTAGCATACCCTACCTATTTGTGCATTAAAGTTACCCTGTGAGATAATGAAACATGAACATTCGGCTTTCAGTAGGAGTTTAAAAAGTTTTTAGTAGTAATCACTCCTCACTTAGAAAGTGGGTGCGTAAAGACGATAAAAAATAATGGCGTGTATCAGCGTCATTCCCACCATTCAAAAGATTTTCAATCTGGAAGTGTGTTCTTTGCTCTATAACTCGAATGATTTGCTTACATCCGCAAAGGTAGTGATACCTGGTGGTCGAATCTCCAAAGACCTAAAAATTGAATCCAACTTACTATTCTTACCACTTAAATCAAGTGAATTATGACACGTTTCGTCCAAAATGTATGTTTTGTAAACCCCAAATATTCATGACCTGATATGCTAAATTAATGGTTAGTAAAACTTGTTGGACAATCTTACACAGGGTCCAAGCATTAACAACTTCGATATTTGAGTTCCGATTTCTGATTTGGATTTCTTCTGAAACTGTATATGAGAAACCTTACTGTAAGTAAATGAAATCTGTCAAGAAGGATGATATGTTTCGTCTCTAGAGTTAGCTGTTTTTAATCCTGTAGTCCGGCGAAAAGAAAGCATCACTAGCTAAAATACTAATTGCCCTAGAAAAACGCCCACTGTAAAACTAATTGGATGGCTTCTCCATGAAACCTCAAATTATTTAGCCATCCATCTGCTTAATTAAATGCTTGAGGTTTCACTTTTCTCAAGCATGCGTTATTGTGAGTAAAGCACCAGAGAGAACAAGTACTACAGTATATATAACTTCATAAGGGTGTGTAAAGACTACATTTATCTTTTTTCTAAATTCATGTAGTTGATTTTGGTCTTTGAAATGACATGTTTACAGCCAGCTTCACGTTGTTGCACTGAAAAGAAGTAGTTGATAGTAGATGAGCAAAATCAAACAAAGACATTAATAGGTATCTGGTTCAATTCATGTCATTCTGAAACCTGACTTTATCCCAACTTCTTCACCTTTCTATAAGAATGGAAATCCAACTTTCAGTGAATAAAACAAGATGGGAAATACATATACGTTGGTGGAAACAATGTTTCAATATTTACTAATCTTCGACACTTGATTTTGTATTAGCATTTTTAGTCAACTTCTTACTGTAGGTCTACCCACCACCCATATTCTGGTCTTTTCTTTTTTCCTCTTTTCTATTTTCCTTGTCTAGTCAGTATCTTCCTTTCACAATGATCTACCAAACAAATAACACTTACATTTATATCAGTTTAATAACCATTGAAATAAGTTAAAACATCTCTTCATCATACAATAATGTTTCTACAAGTTCATAGTTTACTATAGATGATTTTTTATTCCTTCAGCACAACAGAAAGTATCCTCAAATAACAACAAGTAAGAACAAAACAAAACCTAAACAACATATTAACAAATCTTTACTCTTAAAATAAAAGTAACAGTAATTTGAAATTTCACATTTACAACTTGATTTCAACAACTGTTCAATGTTACAATAATCAACTTTACCAAAAGCAACAAATCAGGAAGATAAACACGAGGAAATCGTATACAAATTAATATAAAACAAAAAGACAACACCGAAAATAAAGTTGATTTCATACACTTATCACGTAAAAACACAATTTAAAAAATGGATTTAAATGAGTTCAATGATAAGAAAAGCGATATTATATGTATCATATAACCATGCCCTAATATAATTATTTAATATATTAATGATGATAATAAAAAACCACTTGAAAAAGTATCATCTGAAGTCCACTTGATGAGCCTAACCACATGCAATATACATCACATACACACCAATAACACCTATATATATATATATATATATATATATATATATATATATATATATATATAGAGAGAGAGAGAGAGAGAGAGAGAGAGAGAGAAATGGATGAGTGCTATCCCTCCCTTTTAGTGAACCATGTGCCTATAAAATAATCAAGTTTATCAATATTAAACGTGCAACTGTTTAAATAAATAAAAAGTGAATATATCTCAACGCAAATTGTAAGCGGTTGTCTCAGCTATTGAAGAGGGTAACGATTTCGGGTTTATTACCTCACGTAAATGCTCACTATCCCATACAGAACCCTTTACAGCAATCCCTTTGGTGTTGTTGATCAGGTCATTCATCTTGACCGATTTCTTAAAGATGCTCAGACATGTTGGTGATGATAGATTTTTTTGATGTGTGCTGTCACACTCGATAGTTAGCTTTTTATTACCTGTTGATAACTTTGTCCAATTGTCAACTGGCAGATCATCCGTTTGATCTAATGACAACAAGTCGAAGTTGTTCAGTGCAGCAGCAGAATATCTAGATGATCAAAAAATCAATAGAAACAAGTTAAAGAATAGGTCAGCAAACATGTTATCCAATCGATTATTCAACATTATGGAGTAATTATTAAAGCATCCCAGTCGATCTTGGGACTATCAATCAATGGGACAGCGGTTCGAACCCTACCCCCACCCCTACCGAGGTTTGGGCACCCAGGTAATAACACCAGCTCTCACACAATAGATGTGGCTTATTGCCTACTACATGAATGTGCACTAGGTGGCTGAATGCGTTTCGTTCATTCATTCGATCTTATCACATCCATCATTCAGGGTGTTGAGTTGTTCAACTTGCATGATCATGAAACTCTAAACATTACTGAATTTTTCATAACTTTACTTACTACTGACGTAGAAATCTGGAGTAATTTTGAAAAAAGAACGGACAAAATGAAACGAAACGCACTCAATTACCTTGTGCATATTTGCGAAGTAGGCAATAGGCCATACCTATTGGCTGCCCAAACATCAGTAGTTGGAGTGGGATTCGATCGCGTGACCCATTAATTGGTAATCATCTTAAACTATTGGTATTTACCTAGATCTAAACAGTCCTTTCGACTCAGTGTATTGTCAAATGAATCAAGAATAAAACTCATGTAAAATATTTGATACACAATAATTAGAAAGCTACGATATGTTGCAAACTAAAGAGCACAACGCATTCTCCTTCAGTATCCTCTCAATATATCGTGGATGATACTTAAGGCTTTTGTCATTATTATAAGTGTTACGTTTATGATATGATCTGAAACTAGGCTACTGCAATACAATTCAAAACTGATTTTCCAACTCAGCTGCTAACAAATCAAAAAAAGCACCTTTGAGAGAGATAATATGGCTCAAAATAGGTAACAATGGTATACATGTAGACACCGCTTATCGTTTTTAAAGTTCTGAGCATTTCCAACAGAATCCATTTGAAAGAACAAATTCTCCTTCGACGATATCATATATATCCTCAGAAGTTGTAAAATCGCACTTAACTAGTGTACTACAAGTTTAACGGTAAAAATATCAGTCAATAATTCTAAGTAAATCGTGGTCAGAAAAATAGTATAGTATACTGATCTCAGTATTGAACTATAATGAAAATAGTATTTCGCACTTAGAATTCAACCGATCAAATACTCCAGAATAATGCTGAGAGAATAAGTACAGTAACTGTAATATGTACACTTCAGTTACTCCCAAAACCAATCCGCGGAGCAGATCAAGCAGTATTAAACGCCTGTATGCACTCCAGCATAGACTCAACTGTACTTAAATGATAACCAATAAGATAGTATTTGTCAAAGACACAGAACGGTAATAACCAATGAGAATATGGCTAGAAATAACGTCTAGACGTGAGCTCAAACATCTATCACGAGTCTGTCTAGACAATGACAAATCAATACCGTTATTTATTCCAACTTGTTTCTTTTTCCATTTATTGCTGTTTCACATGCTGCTGTGAGGTGTGACAACAAGAATACACGCTCTTTTTTGAAGGTATATGTTGATTTTTCTGCCTAAGGTCAAATGTAGGTATGACAATGACCTTGTCAATGAAAAATTCGGAATACCGGTTTAGTCAGATTTCTCACCAGCGTTCGGAATGTCTTAAACGGAATGACTAATAATGATTCAGTATACGGTGCTTACAAGCATAATTTCCGAGAAATATTGATATTGCCTGACTGTCAAAGTTATGCACAAATCCTACTTGACCTTGACTAAAAAACAGCGTTCAGGCAGAGCGCTCTAAATCAAAACGCCACTTAAATTTTCTGATAAGATTATATAATACTTTCATAACTGTACTTAAAATGACAAAAATGACTGAGTACTAAAAATGAGTTATATCATCATGAACCAATGCCTTTCCTACACAGTATTCGACTCTGGAAGGAATGGTGCCCACTACTACCTAATTAATATACTGAATCAATATACAGACAACGTGAACTTGAATAATAGAACAACAGCAGTATGATCAAAATAAAATGGGATCATTTTACTTCCTTGGCTTCTCATCAACTGCTTACAACGTAGAATATCGAAATATTAAAGTTATGACAGAAATTGAAACAGACATCAGTTAATTCGAAATGAGTCCCATCAGTGGTTGAAATCAGAGTAGAGTAGTAAGAGTAGTAAACGGACTCCCAATTCAGTCATGTATTGGTGAACATCTTCACGCCTAACCTGGAAAACATGAACTTGCAGTCAGGAAAGCAACATTGTACTCCAGGTATATTCATGAAAAATGCATCCATTGTGACAATTTATTCCATCCTCTTCATTTTCTAGGACTTTTCAATAACGTCCATACAAACACTTAATCAAAAATAAAATGAGAGAAAGACTATATTTCCAACTTTCGAAACAACCTGTGACGGATAGCACACTTCAAAGACTGATTAGTCTGAAGAGTACTTTGAATGTAGGAGTAAAATTTGGGCTCCGTGGTATATTGTAATTCCATTTAGTCTGTTTATTAGAAAGGTAATACAGTGAAACAGTATCATTTACTAGATAACGTTTCGGAAATAATTTATTGTCCATATTCTTATCACTATGTCCGAAACTTTGGCCATTTAATGATACTGTTTTACTGTGTTACCTTTCTAAGGAAATACTTTGAATGGATTGCGTTTGAATTTTAAAATTTTCTCTCCAGTTAACAATAAATGCACACTTGTGAAAATATTGTTTCAAAGATTCACAATAATGTATTCAAGAAATAAATTGGTTCTCAGTGAGAAATGTCTACAAGACAGACAATGGCTACCTACAGACGTGTATGGGAGGACTGGAAATAACATACCGAATAAATATGCAGTCAACAAAAAGGCCGTTTTTATACATTTCAACGTTAAAAAAGATGATACTGCAGAAATAATACACGAAGGATGAGATGCAATATCAGCTAGAACTCATCTTGCTATAAAGGTGGTTTCAGTTTATCAGACTATGTGATCGTCACTACAGTCACAAGTCGAGATAACCTTTTTACGTTACCTCCAAATGCATGCATCAATGTGCCTACATCTGCCAAAGCAGATACTTTTCGAGTACAGAAAAAGGGTAAACGTCAGATTTCATAAATACTTTCCAAGAAGACTCTTAAGAAAAACTGATTTCACTAGTGCGACCACTCACCATCAGGGAGATGCGTTAAATTGTTTTAACATAGTAAATAAACAGTGTGGATCAAATTTCCTAAGGATCACTGAAACTTTACTTATCGAATATCTAAAGCCTGAATTGTGTTTAAAAACAAACTGCTATTCGTTCCTCCCTGCAGTGAAAACGTACTTCTCGACTTTCACTTTTGTTTGATCAAACCATCTTTATCATTAAATGTATACACTAACTGTCCTTTTGACTATTGCCCATGTCACATTTTGATAAACCTTGCTTCCTTCACCATGATTTTCAACTACTTGAGCTTCATCCACTGAATTTCATACAGCTTATCTCTCCATTAACTGCCTTATATAATAAGCATGTTACTTTTTTGCTACGCTTAACCTCGCCTGCTTAACTAGTTCACTAGTTACTAGCCGGTCCTGAGCCCGGGTAAAGAAGGCAAAGGGCATAGGGCTAGAAAACCTACCCCGGAAAACCAATCCAACAGCTAAAAAAACTTCGAAGCACAAAGAAAATATAAAAAATAAAATTAAACTTATTCCTCTCTGGAATCGGAGAGGCGAAATGATGCCGGTTGGTGAAAGCCTTCGGGAAGCCGATTGGCCGATGTCTCTTCTCTCGATGAAAGCGAAAGTAAACATAGCAACATGACATGTCTCCACCATGTATGAACCTGCCACGGCTGCCAAGATTGGCAAAGAGATGAGAAGATATAGTATGGAAGTGCCTGGAATCTACGAAACCAGATGGAATGGAAATGAACTCTCCAAACTCTTAACTGTAGAGTCAATAATCTACTCCGATATTGTCACCAAAACGATAACAACAAACACACGGAGGGAATGGCAATTATGAAGTCCCCAAGAACGTCGAAGGCAGTCTCACATGCAGTGGGAACCAGTCTCCTCCTGCAAGATCAAGATCATGACAGCAAGATGGATTGGACTCAAAAGGTAGGAAAGTCATGATCATTCAAAGCTACGCGCCTACAAATAATGCAGGTGAAGAGAAGAAGGAGGAATTCTACAGACAACTGAAATCAGTACTGGACAAGACCTCACTCCAGTTGGCGACATCGAAATTCATTCAAATGGGTGGGTTGACATGAATGTGAAACTGGGAGCAGACAACACAGGAAGAGAACTGACCATGGGTCGAGAAGCACTCGGTGAAATGATGAATGAGAATGGAGAACTGTTTGCAGAGTTCTGCGCATTTAACGATTCGATGATTGGAGTCAGACAGTGTGTACAAGTGCAAAAGTATTGACAAGCCAGCGACATGGAGTTGATTTCACCAGACACCAGGACACAGTGAAATCGAATTCAGATCGACTTCATATGAATGTGAATAGAGTGGAGACGCGGCCTACTGGACAGAAGATGAGATGAAGAAGGGGAGCAGATGTAGGTTCGGACCACTATCTAGTGCAAGGAACCTTCCAAGTCAACTTGAAAACCTTGAAAGAAGTTGATGACAGACGACCACAGTGCAAGGACAAAACTACAGAGGACATATTCACCCCAGCCATCAAAAAAAATGGGAGACATTGAGAAACATGCCTAAATAAACCTGTGTGGAAGAACACTGGAACTCTTAGAAAAAGATATGGAAAAAAACCTGCATAACCGTATTAGGAAGGAAGAAACAAGACAAGGAATGGATCTCGACGGACACAGAAGCTGATAGAGGAGTGAGAGGAAGATGGTGAAGCAGAAGATGAACCAATGCAAGGATGCACAACGAAAACAGGAATTGAGCACAACGTACAAAACACTGAACAAAGAAGTGAAGAGGAGTACGCGCAAAGAAAAAGGATACTTCTAAGACACACTTGAA